AGCATTCGGAAGTCAGCCAAGCGTGGTCATTGCACGCGTGCTGAACAAGAATGCTGTTTAATGACAGACTAGAAACAATAGACAACTCCCAACGCACAAACCCAGCCAAAACGCTAAAAGTCTTCAATGTTTACTCAAGTTTGGGCTTATAGAAGATAATGTCACAGTTTTTCAATGACCATGACATTCAGAATCCGGGTAGTTAGTTAATCAATTGTGGCCCTGAAAAAATTTGAAGGAAAAAAAACTACGAATTTTTAAGAAAACGCTTTTTTCGTGAGAAGGACTCTTAAACGCTGACAAACGTCAACAAATAGCTAAAACTATAATGTCTATATGTTTGCTTTGCTCGAAATCGCGCGCATTTACAAGGCCCTAAAGCTTTTTGCTGACTTGCAAGGACCCATCTGTTATAACGATCCCCAAAATAAAGGGATCAGTCTCATAGTTTATTAGATATAATCGTGTAAAGTTTGCTTATCATTTTCGCATAAATTATGACCTAAATTTGGAAACCTCTGAATTTCTCGAATTGGGTCTTTGCGATTTTGGTGAAACTCTGTTCAGCGCAAGGCACTAATGCGCCCTATGTGTAGCCGAGAGATTTTCACGAAAAAATGCCGGCAACAGCAGATTTTCGACTCCGACCTCAAAGGGGCGTGGCATTATAACCACGTGACATTTACTCCGATCGCCAAAAATTTTATGTTATATTGTAGATTGATCTATACGTTATCCATTCTATGTCTTAGACTTACGATAAAAGTAAAGGTGGGCATACCAGAAAGCTTCAAAGTAGGATGGTACCTCCCCCCCCAAACTGGGTCGAGTCACCTTAAAATAAAGGGATAGGAGACCATTAGAATCTCAATAGATTTTCTCAATACCATGGATAATAGACTTAGAGGTGGGTCAGCCGCCTACCCAAGCAACCCTGAGCGAGCCAACTTTTGATTTCCTACATTTCCTTACAACACTTTGCGAGCCGTTCACATGAAAAACAAAAGATTGACTCGGCTAGAAGTGTGACCCGCCTAGCCAATTCACCCTTTTCGATGGTAGGGTCACCCTCGTAGCCGTGTAAACACTTTGGCTCGCCTAGCCGGGTCAATTCGGTAAAGGCGAGATAATAGGGAGATTAAGCAACAGCGTTTTTGAGCGACGGACGTCAACCGGAAGTGGACTTTTGCATCATTGGGCACTGGTTTGGTTCAAATTCTCGGGTAAATCGTCTTTATAAGAGAAAAGAAACTTAGCAATACAAATTTGTTAGCATCGAGGCATATAAAAAGGGAGAAGGTCTCACTTCCGGTTGACGTGAGTCACTCAAAAACGTCTTCGCTTAAGCTCCCTGTTCAGAGCATGCGCAGGCGATTTTGGTCGGGCAAAGGGAAGGCAAAGGGGTTAACGTTTCAGACGCTTGTGTTGACTCGGGGAGGGGTGGGAGAGTTACCCTTGACAGCTTTTCTCCATATATACGGGGACTAAGATTCTAGAGAACGTCAATAACGTCAATAACAGGGGTGGGGGGCGCTGGTCAATAACTACCTGTCCACAGACTAATACTGCAATGTGGCCGAGTCTTCTTTCCGGTCCGCTACCAGAACACTGAAGTTTCTTCCATTTCAATTTAGCTACAAAAAGAAAGCGAATTGAGTTGATGATAAAAATCTCTAAAGCTTGTGCTTACAACAACTCCTTTGTCTGCGAATCGACAGTAAGCGCAATTGAAACAAAGGTAACTCATTTCTGTTGGAATGATTTTCGTATGATCTTGAAAATGGTTTCGGCAAGTGGTCTTCATTTGTTTTATCAGCCAATGGATGAAAAGATCAAAACATGGACTCTTCGTTTTCCCGCCAAAGAAAACCCTAATATGGAGAGGGCATTGTTTCAGTGGCCAGTCGTGTTGCAGTATGAAGTCAAAGCGAAACATCGATTGATATCTAGAAAGTTCTCGGGCATGAAGTTTTTTTTTAATCCGAGCGTTCGCTTAACCAACCAAAAGCCACGCGCGTTTCTATCCGTTCGATAAACTAATCAAATCACTCTATTTACGTTCGTTTGTTGTTTCTGTTATGCTTGCGCGTTTTCATTTCAAGGTCATACAAAAATCGCTCTATTTCAACCACATACAATTGAGCCACAATGCGTACACTACATCTACTACAATCTTAAAGCAGAGAGTGCTGCAAACTAGTAACAACATTCCCACTCAAATAATTATAATTTGCATGACTACTTACACATGCTCAACTTGTATACATCTTCGAATGGCGTTGGAACCTTTGCTTTATCATTTGATCCACCAAATAAGTAAATATCCTTGCGAATAAACCCAAAAAGTATTAAAAAAGTGAGCCCTAACAATAACCATGATCCTTGCCTGCGAGAAAGTCCTCCGGAGCGCGCTGTCGGTGGAGCGGGAGAAGGAACGAGAACTTGTAACTACGTCTCTAGAATTTGAATTTTGCTTCCAATTCCCCTGTGGTTCCCCGTCGACTGAGCTGTCCAATTTCCGCCAATCAGCGCGAAGCGGAAACGAGCGAGAATGCAAACAAACATTTAAAGGCACGTGAAAGCACGCCCCAAGGGTAATGACGTCATTACTAATGTCATCTCCGCCAATCAGCATTTCGCATCGATCTTTTCGATGCAGATATTCAAATTCCAGAGACGTAGTTGCAAGCTCCCCTTCCCTTCTCCGTCCCGCCGCCAGAAAGCCCCGGAGAGCTTGCTCGCAGGCTACCATGATCCTAGTTTACTCACAGTATAGTGAATGGGGAGCTACAGCAACAGAAAACGGTAAAAGCAAGAAGAAAGTCAGTCACAAGAGCAAAGCAAAAGATTACGGAGTTTTAGATCCAACCACGCGATTGCAAAGAGAACGTCTAAAAATAGGTCTAATAAGCAAAACAACAACTTTGCACGTGCATCACAATTTTTTGTACATTTCTTTGCCTTTTTTGCACGACTAGGGCGGGAAATATCCTAATTTCGCGTTTTGATGGAGAACGTAAACAAGCAACGACGAAATTTATCTTTCTTTCTGAACTTGGATGTGGTTCCTTGGGATTCAACTTCAGGAGGGTTCGCCTACATTTGAGAAAATAAGCAGGAAGAAACACTTGCGATAAAGACTGGAGGAACTAAAATTCTCTTTTTTAACTACGATCTCGTGGCCGTCGCGTCGTTGAATCAAGGCTAAGCCAAACGTCAACTTTTCATGAGACGAACTAAATTTAGTGAGTTAAGTTCGTCTAAACGAGTTCGGATCGTCAATCGTCCATTTAGCCCCATACATTTAATATGCATGCTGTTATGCAACAATTTCATACTTTTTCTCACAAATAGCGTTAATATGAAAAGAGTCGAAACATGTATGCGTAATAAATGTATGGGGTTATACGGAAATCTGACCTTTCGTTTTGTTTTGTTTTGTTTTGCTGACCTCCGATTCAGAGACAAACATTCGAATGAGTCGTGGAACTGCTTCGATGACAGTAGCATCCGAGGGGCTCTCTCGTCCGTTCCTGAAAACTTTCGCCGCCGTCTATCCCCACCCGACTGACCGCCCCTGGGTCTACGACGGGAAAAATGCCTAATTTCACGTTTTTTGGAGGATGTAAACAAGCGACGGCCAAATTTTCTTTTTCTTTCTGGACTTGAATATGGTTCTTAGGAATTCGGCTAAAAAAGAGTTCGCTTGCATTTGACAAAGTAAATGAGTAGGAGCAATCGCCATAGATTAAACTGGCGAATTAGTCGCAGGGAGGGGAATTTACGCCAATCAGAAACATGGAAATATTTTAAATAAATAATGTTCTTAGTAAAAAGTATTTTTTCAGTAGAAACACAAATATACCTTGCCGTGGTGGGCACATATGGTATGTAAGCTCCGTACATGGGGCAAGTGACCCAGAACATTCACCGCTTCCCATCTCAAGGTTACTGCAAAGTAACACAAACGTTAATTCGGAACCTTCTCTTAAATTAAGCCAATCTGTTCACATTTCGAAACGTCTCTTAAGGAACCAGCTTTAAGATAATTTTGTAATAAAAAGTATTATAATTAGTAATTAGTTCAGGATTGTAATTGGTACTATGTCGAGTGTTGTAATTGGTTAAATGTAATACTTGTAAATAATGATTGTTGCTAAAAAGCCCCTTTGGGGAGGAAACAATAAGAAAGGTATGTATGTAATTTATCATCCACTAACTACATCTAGCCTCCTTGAGTGACAAGTCCATCTGCAAAGCAGGCTACCTACGTCCGGCGTGGCATGCGGTAAAACCAAGTAGTCTAGTGCTTGATATGTAGATGTTCATGAGAAGGTAAACTGAGTATTTTCAATAGACCAATTCCGAGTTCTAAAAACTCTCACTTTCAAAAAGAAGCTAGGTGCAAAATCTTTCATGTGAAAATGAGTTTTATTTGCAGTTTTATTAGTGGCTTCACACTTAGCCTCGCTTTGAAACAGAGGCTTGGGGCAATTTGACTTGCTCACCCGTGTCAAAGACATGTAAGTCATTGTACCACAACTTTTCTCCACCGTTGCCGCCCATGATGTAAAACTTTTCACCAATTACTGTACATGCATGATCACACCTACAAAACATTTTATCATGATATTAATATTATTACTAGTAATAACCAAAGGTTACGGAGTGTGGGCGACATCGATCGAAGGTCAAAACGCTTTTGCGCAAACGCTGTGCTTTGCGTAAGTTTCACCTGTTAGAGGGTCAAAACACGCGTGATTAAATTACGACGAATAGAAGGTCCAAACGCGCGTGACCACGTTAGCGTTCGATGCATTCCATTCATTTTTAGTGGAAGTCCAAACGAAGCTGGCAACATACATGCGGACAGGAGACTGTCTCCTGTTCTAGCTTTGTTTCAAAGGCTACTTATTGTTTTGTCAGATTCTGATGCCATGTCAACAGTGCTCTTCAAGTAGTTAGGCAAACAGGAAAATACAATCTTTGTCTTACTAACACTAATCAGTTGTGTACCTGGCAGGAGGGGGTTTTCCAGAGGCCTTGAGAGGAGTCCATGTCAAATTCCCTGCAACAAAACAGAAAATTATTTAAATCTTTTATTTATTTATTTATTTATTTATTTACATGTATCTAATTCTTGGCAGATGAATCAAAACAGTGCCCCAATAAAAAATAGCCCCTTAAAGGAGCTACATGTACAGCTATAAGTCACTAGGGCTACTGTTTTAGGTCAACTCTGTGCTGAAGTGCATGTAATTACTTAGAAACTTTACCCATCAACAAAATCCTTCTTTACGTGATTCTCGTTGCGTGCTACGAGAATCGCGTAGTGCGCAGGAAACGACACGTGACTGGTAAATTTCTTTTGAGCGGTACCGTATGTTGATTCTCAATTTCCTTTGTCTACAAGCCCTAAGAGACAAAGGAAACTTGAGATAAACCTATAACATTGAAAACATTATTTTCACCTGTAATCAATTTGACCTGTAACATAATATACCGTTATTGTGTAATTATAGCTTTATTTTAAGTTAGAAACAACTTACCTGTATTTAGTATATAAAGAGCATCTGAAGCAATTCCATGATGTATTCCTCCAAATATATACAAAGTGTCTCCCACTACAGCGGTGGAATGGCCTAAGACTTTTGGCTGACGACCTTGGGTGGGACATAATTCCCAGGACAGTGTTCCTGAAAAAGTATCAGTATATGGTTCACTCACAAAGCACAAGTTCACAATTATATGTCTTACAGATCAAAATTAAATTCGGGCTTAAATGTTTTAACCTAGGTTGATTCTCAATTACCTTAGTCTCCTAGCCCTAAGTATTCATGGATTAGGGCTAGGAGAGAAAGGAAATAGAAAATCAATCTAGGTTAAAAAACTGTAACCCGAATTTAATTTTGACCTGTAACATATGCAAGTTAGGACAACAGTGGATGTCATGGGGGCAGATGTATTTTTATTAGCGCCGACTTACCTCCAACAACCTACATGTAGAGGGTGTGTTTGTCCTTTTCTGCCCCTCTACCATTTTGAATGATTTCTTTTACTGTTTCGTCATCTATTTTTAGTCAGATTTTTGTTCATTTTACAATGTGGGTTTTTGTTTATTTCTTTTTGTTTTTTTTTTTAACTTGACTGTAACAATATTTTACACGTATGCCTCCTCTTTTATAACACAAAATACGACACAATGTATTTTGAAGTCTATAATGCCTCCAAGCTTGATTAGCTTTAAGTGAATTTTTAGGTGCCTTTATAACATACATAAGTAGTATTGTCTTTTTTCCTCCCATTTTTTTTGGTGAGTAAAAGGTAAAAAAGATAAGGCCAAAACGGCCGGAGCTTATCCCGGTCTCCTTAGCATACACGAAGCATGCATCAGAGTATTGCTACCGACTACCCCCTAGATGGGATGCTAGTCCATCCCAGGGTTACCCCCCCCCAGCAGCATGTTGCGGATCCCTATTTATACACCTGGGTGAAAAGAGACAAAGTGGAGTAAAGTTCCTTGTCTAAGGAAACAACATGACGGGCAAAGCTTGAACTCCCGAACTCCAGATCCTGATACACCTTTTCTGTGTGTGGTATAAAATAAAGTTCTTGTCTTCTCTTGTTGTGGTGTCTTGTCTAACTATTGGCTGATGCCAAGTATAAAAAATTATGCAGCCCAAGAAGCTTATTATACTGTACATGTGGTATCTATTGAATAATACCTTCTACATTTACACGTTAGCATTACCGAAAACTTGGACATGAGACAGAGATTATAACCAGGATAGTAACACTAGCTTTTTTCCATCTTTGCAATTTAAAGTATTTCACTTTGATTTTAAGAGTACTCTTATTACACTAATAATACAATGAACTGTCACTAAGAGCTGGGCGTAAGGGATTTCCCCATGGCTCCTTTAAGGGGGCACACAAACCCCCTACTTTGGAACATAAAGAACTTTTTTTCTCTGTCTGGCAACTTGAAATCGTACTGAAAACCCTGATACATGTACAGTACTTACAAGTAAGTCAATGCTAGAATAATGGGTGTTTTTAACCCTTCAAACCCCGATATCCACATGCAAAGTCTCCAAACTGATCTCCATTCATTTCCTTTGAGAATAATTTGGTTAAGAGAATTTGTTCAAAGATCAAAGCATTAATTTTTCCCTTAGATGATCATTTTATTAATAATTATTACCATAACTTTATGTCTTGACAATGTATGATGGATATCGTTAGGAGAAAATTGTTGATGGTCACTATTGGAAATTAAAATGTTAAGATACACTGTTACCGTGGTTACCAGTATGGTAAAAACTGACCAAACAAAGAGAGAAACTCGAAGTATTAGAGAGGTGACTACTGAAGGTAGTAAACTTCTTTCACATGAAAGTGCAAAATGAGTTCGTTAGATTCAACCTCTGTAGGAAATATGACCGACATCAATGCCTTAGGAATTTTAAAGTATTACAACAAAGTTTTACCTATGTCATAAGCGTATAATCCTTCCAAACATTCTTCTGATTCTGGGTAATTTGAGCCACCAAATAAATAAAGTACAGAGCCCAAAGCACTGGGGAGAGTTAAAAGAAGTCACAAATAATCAGTTGCCAGAAACAAATAGTTTGGACGGTATAAAAAATTAATGTTACATCTTTGTTGTGGTTCAAATTTTCTCCAGTTTAATTGCTTTTCAAACCTTCTGGTTTTTAAACCAAGAAAAAAATTGAACCAAACCATTAACATTAATCACTGTATATGGATTAAAAACAAAATAGAAATACAGTTTTATACTCTAACAAAGAACCTAACTGGGGGCTACATTTCATGATATGACAAGGAAGATGTAGTATTCAAATACCAACAGAAGTAATGATTAATAAAAATGACAATCCGGCTTTTACAGACCTCAGGGTGTGTCCATCCCTAGCACAAGGAATGTCTCCAAGCTGTTGTAATCTTTCCCATGTCACCTGTACACCGACTAAGAATAATTATAATGCAAATATCAGTTGGATATTAGGTCTTTATCAGGCCCCAGTGATTCAAAAGGTGGACAATGCTCTTGACTGGATAAACAATTCTCTATCCAAGGGTTAAGCCAACAGCTTTACATTGTTAAAGATTTCAGTGGCTTACTAGCTGCCGGGGGGTTAATTACCAACACTTAAACACTTCTTTGCTATTCAACTTACGATGAACTCGACCAGAAAATGTACATGTACTGGTAATTATAATGTTCTAATCAGAAAAAATATATATATTTATAGGCCTTCAGAATTTGACAAACAATACCTAAAGTAATATTTTTTCTATCAAAGTTTTTTCTAGCACTGTACCTTAAGAATCAGTGTTTAAAGTTGACTACTGACATAGAAGACAGTAGGCAAAGATTTATAGCATTTATGGTTTCTATACAATCCTTGCATACCCTTAAGAAGGAACAGATCATTCAAGTAAATTGGATCACTAGTGGAGTCACTGTGCTGCCCACCAAAACCACTTCCACTGCTGCCTCCAAAAATGTACACTTTCTTCTCCACAACTGCAGCAGCATGACCTTGTCTGAAAAAAGAAAAGATCAAAGAAAATGGAGTTATAAGTAGGTTAAGCATGATCGCCCAAGTGAACATAGTCCTGAATAGGACTGTTGTCGACAGTGACTGACGTTTTGACGACTGTGCTGCAGTCATCTTCATCTTCACTTTGACTCAGCACAGGTTGTTGAAACGTTAGTCACTGTCAACAAAAGTTCTATTCAGGACTATGTTCAGCTGGATGTGCTCAACCTACTTACGAAATGACTCCTGGGTTAAAACCTTTCACAAAATGGTCCAGTTCTACGTGTGAGTTGATAATAGTAAAGATGATGATAGTGTGAACTGTAACAGGAGCAGATCTAGGATAAATACCAACTGATTTTCCGAAATGAGTGCCAAGGGCACAAACTTCAAGCCGGGTCCAGGGGCGGGCTCCCTCAGCAAATTTTTTGGATTTTTACTGCCTAAAGTCCCCTTTCCAGGGTTTCCAAGTCATTCAGACAGGATTTCATCTTGGAAAGTTTTTTTATTATTCAAAATATATAATTATTCATTATGAAAAATGTGACCAATTTCCTTAAAACAGTGAAAAACTGGTGTGGATCCGTGCCTGAGTCCACAGCCTTTTGCCCACAACATCACCAAGATAATTTACCACAAAACTGCAATATGATGAGAATACTAGTGATCAGTAGTACAGTTCTGATGGACAAAGGTGTAACATTGGCCTAAAATCGAGATTTTTTTAAAAAATACAGTAGCTGTTTCAAGTAACTCTAAAAAGCAATAAAAAATGATAACATTACAAAAAAAATGCCACCTCAATAATTTTTGAGACCATTTTCTGCTATTTTACTATTACCCATCATGCATTGTGACCACACCCTTTTTAAACAAAATATATTATATCTTTTCTCTGAGGGAATTTTTAAGCAGAAATTTCAGTTAAGTTTAAAGCTATTAATAACAAAACATAACATGCTAATTGTAAGAAAGTCAAAGAGATGCTAATATTTGCTCATGTTCATTCAATGGAACTTGAAATGTTTCCTTTTGATGTCAAGGCACCAAAAATATAATGTACAGTTCCTAGAAGCACTGCTGCCACCTTTTCATCAACTTTATATGTCTGATCAATAATGCTTTCCCTAAGAAAGAATTTCCCATGAACAACAAACTGTCTTTTTTTCAATGTTCCTACATGGATCCTTAAACTTGTCCTTCAGCTTCGTCACGCCATCACTGTCTTGTTATTTTAAGCAGATAATAATCATAGTGACTATCATCTTCAGCTGCCACAGCCACAACACCGTCTTTGGTTGCTAGATCAGCAAGTTGAACCGACGGTTCAGTGGTTGTGACATCCTCAGTAGCTCTAGTGGTTGAGCCTTAACGCTCCCTGGCCAACTTGACCTTCTTCCAGTCATCCACCCACTCTGTGTTTTCACATCTGTTGTAATGTTCAGTAAGGCAGTCATGGCAGTAACAAGCTCTTTCCCTTGTGAAGATCTTTAGCTGTTCACTACAGGTTCTGACATAGTGCAATTGCCGGATACCTTTCACAGTACAAAATCTGCCTCCTTCCTGTTTTCAGGAAACAGCCAGTGCACCAGAAGAAGGCAAATTAAAGAAGACGTGTCGCTTCAGCTGCACTGACTTCTACTTAGAGGGAAAAGATGATGCTGCTGACTCGGAGAAGTTCTCTGTAAGAAAGTCACACAGTTCTTGGGTGCTACGAAGTTTGACTCTCCTACAGAGGATGGCAGTAGTTGCCTTCTGCTTTACATGTGAGCCAGCAGCATCCTGTTCTCCTTTAGCGTGTGAAGTAGCAAAGAAGTTTCTTTGGACTGTACATCCAAGAGTAGCCAAGGAACAGGAGAGGTCACCAAGATAGTGTCTGCTCTTGTACTGTCCTGCACATCTATCAGCGAATTCATGCATGTTCTTAATAACGCATTTAGAGTCTTGAAAATGCTTTGATATCAACTTCTGGATGTGAAGGACAGAGTCATGATCTTGTGTCACATCACCAGAAATGACAAACAAATGCTTTTTGCAGATTACAGGTTCCTCCTCTGTACTCTGAACACCGTCCATTTCTTCATTTGAGTGCCTGTAGAGAATGGTGACATGGAGACTGACTTTGTTGATGTCAAAATATTCAGATTGAATTTCATCCTGGGAACCGCAAGCATAACGCTCAGAATAGTCGTGAATACAGACAGCATGATCAAGAGGAAGGTTTTCAAGGAGAGAATCTAGTTGCTCTCGTTGCCACTTGGCAAGAAAGGAGTAGTAAGGAAAATGTGTTAAGAGCTGAATGAAGTACTCATAAAGTCCCTTTCATGGTTTTGTGCATTTGTCAACAAGAGTTATTTTTGTAATCTCTTTGCCATCTGTAATCAGCTTTCCAGTCGCAACATAGTCATATCTCTTCCATAATATGAAATAAAAATAGGGGTCACCATACTCATTTTTGTAGTAGAGCCGCAGAAAGTGTACACCAAATGCTTATTCTATGATTTTTGAGAGAGGACTGGGGTGAGTTTCAAAATGGCATGTACGTGGAAGGGGAAAGAAAGCATTAAAAAATCAGTTTTTACAGAATTTACATCAAGATATCACAACAATTAGGACACAATGTGATAAAGATGGTGCTTGAATGAAAATCAAAGTGAGTGAGTACAAGTTTAACTTCCACTATCGAGGTTCTCTGTGAGGAGGTCAAACTCAGCAACACGCCTTCTGCTTACCTTATGCACATTCCCTACACATTGAGTCTCATATCGGCAGAAAACATCCGCAAGAAATAATTCCAATAGCCCTTCTCTTCGGTTAACTTCATTTTAATAATGTTACTTCAGATGCTCTTTTTCATGGCGGCCATCTTGTTATGCGCAGTATGAGATGCGCAGTGCAAAACCAGCAAATCACCTTAAAATTCCTTGGAAAATTTGACTTTGCATTTCAGTGTATATGGGTGCTATTGTATAACTGCATACCAGTGTTGCCAACTCTCCTGGATAAGCTGGGAGACTCCAGATTTTGGACCGTGTCTCCTGGTCTCCAGATTAGAGAATGAAATCTCCTGGATATTCTCGGAAGTTTGTAGTTTAGCTGTAGACTCGACTTTCCGACAAAAAACTTTTAAATGTTTCGCGTTGTTTGAGCTATTTTACTGTTAACATCGAACATTTCCTCATAAATTTCAATATGATATATTATGCGACGAGTATTTTTTACCCAAATGACGTCTTACACCGTGCGATATGACGTCATCGTTCATCCCTTCCCTATTGAATTGAAGACGTGGGGGGTTGACAGCCCTGGCATACTATTTTGACGTCATAAAGTCACCAGAATGATTAATTAAAGAAGATGGAAGACCAGCCCCGTGCAGTTGAAGTAGAGCAACATGATAAAGGCTTAATTCCTACTTCATTTGTATAATAAGGATAATAGTCAGATAACATTAATGACTTATTGACTACAATCTGCAATATTAACTGACCTGGGCGCAGGTATGGGTCCACTTATCTTTCTAGTCACCCACGAAAAAGACGAAGAAGACATTGCTGTCCAAATTCGTCGCAAAACTACGACTTACAACTCGACTTCATTTCGAATGTTGTTGACTTCCCCGCTGCCTCCAGACGAGCGCCTCCTAAGGACACTGGGAAATAATACGTGCCCGCGATGTAAATAGTTATCGTTAGCGGTGTTACGTTGTTATGTATGCACGGCACGGTGGGGTGATCTTCGCGCAGAGAGCAAGAGGAATATGTGCATAAATTGTGACGATTTTTTTTTGATAATCAAATAATTTTGTACTAAATGTTTCTCCGATGCATAAGGTGATCATTGGCAAAAAGCGTCTTAAGAGACTCGTTTCTCTTCCTACAACAGGAACGAGAAAATGGCGATCAAAGGACTCGAGGGAAGGGGCTGGATCGGTAAGTATCTAAGCACATCGGAAGTGAATCTTCTATAAACGCGCTATGCTTTCAGGAAGAAAAAATCTATAGTCTGTAATCCTTGTGTTTTTAAACTAATTCGTGACCTTTTTTCTTGGACTATACTCGCTGTCAAGAAGTTTATGACAAGCTATAAAAGTCAGAATGCAAACGGAGATATTTTTAATTTTAGAAACGAGCGAGACCCCTGCGTGGTTTTTAATTCCTTTTGAACAGTCAAAAGAATTGATTACAGTTATCGAAATTACTCCTCTGAGTTACACTGTCAAAGAGACATATAGTTATAGAAGCATTTTACTTGTAAATTCAAGGTTTTGCGACGTATTAACGTCTATAGCGATGTCAAAAAAGGACAATTAACAGCACCTACTGGTAAATTAAAATGTACAAACACCAAAATCTCCTCTCAGTCCATGTCTTAAAAAGCAGTTAATCTTAAATGGCAAGCTAAACGCAAGATTCAGAATCCTTAAAACGTTTCTGAAGCTGACAAATCAGTATTTCCCCTTGTTGTACTCTTGCTTAAGAAGATTTAGAGGTTTAAATTCTTGCCATTGTAAATTTTTTTCGTCAATAATTTATTAGCTAAATCTATTTGTTTTGTTTTCTTTATCACTTTTACTGTTATTTTTCGCCCTAGATCCGTTGTTATTTGAGTGCAATAATTGTCTTGTGGGAAATTAGCTTGTTCCAATGTCTCCTAAGAAAGAATATCTTACCAGTCCATGAGCTGTACTTCTCAAAAGGCAAAACATTGAAAACTGAACTGAACATTACTGATAAGACAAAATTAGCTTGTGAAACTATCACTACCGTTATATAATACTCTGTTTAGCTCCCCACCCCATCCATCTCAAATAGTCCTTCCTCTTATTCAGCCCCCACTTCTCTTTTAAGCTCACTTCCCTTCCCCTCCCCTCCCCTCCCCCTTTATTGCCAACAAGCAAGCCGAGTGAAGACAGTCAGCTTGCAAGGCGGCCAGCTTAATGCCACACGAAGTATTGCAGCAGGCAGAAAAATTCTTGACTGTGCTGTGAAAAGTGTAATGTAAGGTGTGGATTCCCTGGGGATTTCTGTGGCGTTAGATTTCATGTGTAGTTTCACGTGACTTTTGATGACCTTTGTTGTAAACAAACGAACCCTCAAAGTTTGGACAATGTTCTCTGCCACACTACTGTACTTGTACGAACTACAACTCACTGTTTTTGCCATGCTTTTAGCTATAATTTCGCCTAGTTCCAGCTGTAGTTCTTACTCTTAAAACGAGTGAATTGTCTGCAATTTTTTTTTTCACAACCAAAACAACTCAACCTTGTCCCCAGGTCTTCTCGGTAACAGTGCCTTAACCTGTAGCGACCTTTTTTGACGTCATTTCCTCGTTAAACACAAAATAACTTCTTCCAAATTTGGTCATCAGTGACTGGTTATGGTGAATTATGTGTGAGCTTTAAGCCAATCAGAATTGGGGAAATATTTCGAATGAATAATAATTTTACTTAATGATCTGTAAAAATGACTGTATTTTTATGCAATTTTTTATGTATTTATGTTAACACAATTTGCCATTATTTTAATCTTTTAGGGTTTTGGAAAGCCAAATGTTTATCATGCAACGATTGTAATCTTTCTAGAGTTTTTTGCTTGGGGGCTGCTCACATCACCTATGTTAACAGTAAGTCCAAATATTTTTGATTTTTAAACAAATTAAATCAGTCATCAATTGAAATCTTTAAGCGATGTGATAATCGATTAGGGAAAGTGTTTAATTGATTATCGTGTGAACTGTCAGATAATTATTAACTGACAGTAGACTACCACCTATGGTAAAAGTCGTCAAACTGAAGCAAACTCCTTGTTTTCGTTTTTCTCTAGGTTTTACACACCACATTCGAAGAACACACTTTTCTAATGAATGGTTTAATACAAGGAGTGAAGGTAAGATGCTTCCTTAATTCCATTTTAACATCTATGTATATTTGAAAGGTATCCTTATTTTTCTTGCATGAAAAAAAAATTGTTCTTTTCTTCTTAAGGCTAATAAGTTGTTGTCACTTTTTTTCAGGGTCTTTTGTCCTTTCTTAGTGCACCTTTAATCGGTGCTCTCTCAGATGTTTGGGGACGTAAATCCTTCCTTCTTGTAACTGTTTTCTTTACGTGTATTCCCATTCCACTTCTTAGATTCAACCCATGGTAAGTTTATAACAATGACTTGATAAATGTAATGGTGACGATGATGAAAAAAATGATTAGCCTGCGAGCAAGCTCTCTGGGGTGGTGGCGCGGGAAAAGGAAGGAGAGCTTACAACTAAATCTCTGGAATTTGAATTCGGCCTCCAATTTACCTGTGGCTCCATGTCGACTGAGCTGTCAGATTTCCTCCAATCAGTGTGAAGCAGAAATGAGCGGGAATGTAAACAAACATTGAAAAACACGCAAAAGCATGCGTTAAGGGTAATGATGTCATTACTAATGTCATCTCCGCCAAACAGCATTTCACATCGACTTTTTTAATGCAGAAAATCAAATTCCAGAAACGTAGCTGCAAGCTCTCCTTCCTTTTCACGCCCCAGTGCCAGAGCCGCCCAGAGAGCTTGCCCCCAGGCTAAGTGATGGTCATTGACTCAGATTTCATCATCAAGGACTATCAATAAAGATAGCACTAAGGCTATGGTCAATTTCATTTTTGTATCTCCTGATAAAAAAAGTCATCAAGTTTGAGCAGTACAAAATACAAATTACTTTACATGTAATGGTTTATTACTAGAGTAACACTTCTAATTCTTCCACGTACGTAGTTTACGTCATTTTTAATTTTAAACTATCATGTTTGTAATAATTATATTGAATGACTGTTTATTTTTTTCCTGGCATATAAATAAACTGAAACTGAATTTTATAATATTATTGTGTTCTTTCTTACGTTAATTTTTTTGTCTTCTGTTTTCTACACTACAGGTGGTTTTTTGCTATGATCTCAGTGTCTGGAATGTTTGCTGTCACATTTTCAATAGCTTTTGCTTATGTTGCTGATTGTACAGAAGAAAATGAGCGAAGTACAGCTTATGGACTGGTAAGATATTCATTTCTACACTGTATTTTGATCAGAGCAATGTTACATGAATGCCAAGGCAATAGATGTTATGCCAATATGCAATTTTTCACAAAGTTAATCTCAAAATAATTTCATCTTAAAGTATAATCCCTTGAAAATCCCATTGGAAACATCATACTGAACCTTCCAGGGGCACCCAACGACCAATTAATGTTTCCAAGTATGTCAGAACTGTCTCAGATGGTTTTCTCTATGGCTGAGAAGCCTGTTTGGTTCATTTGGAGCTGCCCAGTGAGAACTGTTTATCTGTTTGGATGTCTTTTTCGTCTCATTCACAACTGTTAGCTTCCCTGATGGGTGCGGTTGAAAGTTCAAGGACATTTAGTTGCCATACCTCCATCAGAAGTTTCTAGGGGTTGTTTTGTCCTTAAAAATTTAAAAAAGACAATAATAATATTGCAATATCTTGGTAATAAGATGTGAAAACAACCTCTGAAAATCATATGTTTGGCTGTAGAAATTTCTAGGCAATATTTACTTCTTCTGACAGTTACTGTATTTTACAGAAATAGTCAGTCGGGGCCCCTGCCTTTGAAACTCACAAATCTCAGGGCTTCTGATATTATGCAATGGGCAAAGAACACAAGAATGTACATGTACATGTTAACTACAGGTCAAAGAAAAAAATTTAACCTAGATTGATTCTCCATTAATTTTCCTTGGCCTCCTAGCCCTAATTACAGCTGTAGTTAGACAACAAATTAAATTCATGTTAAAATAATAATAATTATTTTAACATGAAGTTAATTTTGACCTTTGTTTGCTTTTTGTTAATGATATACGATACAATATAATTTTTTTTCATCAAATTTAATATTTTTACCAAGAAATACTTTCCTTGCTGAAAGAACACAAGAATATATAGAGAATACTTCATGGAAAGTGCGGGCGTACGGTATTTACGCACAAGTTGTTGACGTATCAGAAATCGAACGAGTGAGCGCAGCGAACGAGTGAGATTTCTGATACAAAAACAACGAGTGCGTAAATACTGTACAAAGCACTTTCTATGTGGTATTGTGTTTATTATATATATACTGAGATTTTAATTCTTGTTTTTCCTCTTTAATGACAGACCGAGACAAAACTCTGTTACATGAATTAAAGTTAAAAACTCATGCAAGGATTATAACATAAACTTGAATTTCTGCCAGAAATTTAACATTACAGCAAGCAAATAATGTTCAAATATTATTTCTAAACTTTAATCCGAGTCGGACTCCTCAATTCGGATTCTCTTCCACCTTTTTTCGGTGGTTTCGGTGACGGAACTCCTGGTTTGAATGGTCGGCGAGGTAGTAAGCGCATTAATGGAAATCGTAAATTGTCCTCCACTTATTACTGCTCCATCAAAAAAACTCATCGGGGTTTTACTAGTGCAAGTGCTCGCAGCAGCAGTTTCGTTAGTTGCAGTAGTTACTTGTGTTTGCGACGATGCTCGGCTTAAGATGCCTGATATGTTTATTTGTTGATTTAGGTTCAAGCTACTATAGTTTGTTATGCTTTGCACGTTCTTGTGCCCACTTAACTGCATTATATGCGTTGGCGGAATTTCACTGTCATTAAGTTTTTGAATCATGTGTTTACGAGCACTATGGTTCGTGAGTCGCTCGTTGTTGATGTTTGCTTTTGAAGCCATTGTTTTCATCAAAGTGTTTAATTTATTTACACCCATAGGTGCCGACTTGAACCAGTGCTTTTTGGAGCCGTCTGTTTTCGTGTGGTTTATTCCCAAGTAGAATGGCGAATCGTCAGCCATCATGTTTTCCGGTCGCTTTTCACGGTAAATTTTGTACGCCACGACAGGATCTCGTTCATCACCAGTTGAAAACATTTTCGGGGAAACTTTTCGAACGTTTGAGGCGTCTACTCCAGACCTTGTTTTTGTCTGTCTTTCATTGTAAACTAGATAGTCGTTACCTTGTGCGTCCTTACAAAGCTTTACATCTCCCCAGCACAAATCCCTATGCTCTTGACAAACACGCATTCCAAAATGAATGGTGTTGTTCAGCCAAACAGTATTCAACAATGATTCAGCAGAAGAAACTCCAAGCAAATTGTTTTCGTGAAGTATATCGACTTCTTCGTCCGTGATAGCCACAGCGGCTTTGTCCTTGTTGCCTCGGCCTGCTTTCTTCAGCTCTTTTTGTTTAGCCTGTAAACACTTCCTAAACAATTCAAATTCTTTATCGTTAATGATACTCTTAGTATAATTATTTTTCTTCAAATGTCTTTCAATACTTGAAACAAGGCATCTTAAACTTGAAGGCTCATAATCCTCTCCGTCTTTACGTCTCACAGACCGAATAAACTCCGCAAGGTGCTTGTTTAATTCTGCGGGCTCTATGTCTTGCACTTCTCGCTCGTCGTTCTTTTCGTTTCTCAAAAACGTTTCCAGCAATTTCACATCTCGTTTCGTTTTCCCTTTCGTATTCCTGTTTTCGAGACTTTCTACGTAATCCTCGACTGAAGTATCGTGATCAACAAACCTTTTCTCGTTCATGTTTTTAAGCTTCAACACTTGCGAAAGATTTCTTTAACAAAGTGAAATGCTGCGAGCTGAATGAAAATCACCTTGTTACGGCTCACACGTCAAAAAACATGATATGCAGCACCTGATTGGACGTATCGTTTTCCTCACACGTGGAAAAAGCAATACGCGCCATTTGATTGGCTGTCGGGTTCTTAGACCAGCTTGTGAACCAAATTTATTTCGCGCCTTTTCAATGGGTAAATCTCAGTACATATATAATAAACATGTACATGTTACAGGTCAAAAAAAAAAATTTAACCTAGATTGATTCTCCATTTCCTTGGTCTCCTAGCCCTAATTACAGCTGTAGTTAAACAATAATTATTATTTTAACACAAATATAATTTTGACCTTTGTTTGCTTTTTGTTAATAATATACGATACAATGTAATTTTATTCGACCAAAATTAATATTTTTACCAAGAAATAGTTTCTTTGGTGATTATTTTAACACATGGATATGTTGGATTTTTAGGTTTCTGCTACATTTGCTGCAAGTCTAATTATTAGCCCAGCCTTGGGTGCTTATATAGGAAAAATATATGATGACAGTGCAGTTGTAGCATTAGCAACATTTGTGGCTGCCTCAGATCTCTTATTTATCTTAATTGCTGTTCCCGAGTCCCTTCCGGAGCGAATTCGTCCAGCGTCATGGGGGGCACCAATCTCCTGGGAGCAGGCAGATCCATTTGCTGTAAGTTGACATAGAAATTGCCTGAGAAAACAGCAGTCATTTGGTGACGCTACCACTGGTTTCCCCTCCAAGTGATGTCTTATAAACAAGCGCAGAAATTCCATACTGGTGAGGCATCATTACTCAGATCTGGGTAGTGATGCGTCGTCTGTATCGAATTTCTGCGCTCATTTCTCAGATGTCATTTGGCGCGGAAACCAGTGGTAGCATCACCAAATGTTTGCTGTTTTCTCAGGCTAACATACAAATAATTATCTAAAAAAATAATTATTACAACAGTGCCATTTGCTAACATCTTGTGATGCCACCTCAAGTTTCCCTGCGAATCAACATGTGAGGAAAACGCGCAGAAATACTGATGACGTCTCACTGCCCTAATCTGGGTAGCAGTGGTGGTTCTGATTGGAGGAAGCAACGTTTCCTTGTGGCACAACCAGTCAGAGGTACTATCCAGACCTGGATAGTGACACACAATCAGTGTGGACTTATTTGAATTTTGCGCTTCCTTAGACATTATTTTGTAGGAAAGAAAGTGATGGCATCACAAAATGGTGGCTGTTTTAGTGGGCTACTTTTCTTAGCAGTAACAATAATAAAATTATGACGGACTGAAGGCAAATTAATTTTACTTGGTAAGGTGGGATTAGTACATTTGGGGTAGAATCTCATTCAGTTTAGAAAAAATTGATCTTAACACAACATAAATTTTCAAGCTTGTTGGGCTACTGTTATGTCGGAATGAGCTCTTTGAAATTTTATCTAAATCTGATGACTATCTCAGGGGTTTCAATAAGTTTTTGCATAAGTGGGTACTTAAGAGTAGCAGGCGGGTATATTTGCCGAAGGCCCCAAGGGCCTTCGACCCTAGGGGGGTCGGGGGGCATGCTCCCCCAGAAAATTTTGAAGTTCTAGACACTCGCACATGCATTTTCAGGTATTTTTTTGTTGCTTTGTTTTTACATTTTTTTGCTCCTAAGTCAACTAATTTAAACAAATTTGAAGAGAATTATGTTACAATGAAGTAGTCATAGTCAAAACCTATTTTGCCCAATTTTTGGGCAAGAATTCGAAGCTGAGATGAAATTATCTGGTCTTAGTTGACGTTCATGTGAAGGCTCCAAGCGGGTAATCAGCCCGTTGCAAGCGGGTAGATCTACCCGCTACCCGGCTACTATTGAAACCCCTGCTATCTTGAAATCACTGAAATCATGCATCAACTTAAATTTAACTAACTCAGGAACACAACTAAACTTATATTCTCTGTGTAAATCATATTGTAATTAAATTAGCTTAAAACATACTATAATTTTTATTTTGCAACAGCTGGTACTGTTTGTAAAATATTTCTTTTTTCCTTTCTTTTCTTTAAATTTGTGTGTCTCTTCCCCCGCCTCGATTAGCCTCTCCTATATGCGGGTGGAAGCTATTGTGAAATTGTAAATTGAGATTGAAAGAATAAATTTGAAATTGAAGTTGAAGTTGAAGTTTTGAGTAAACCAACCCTCTCATAGATTAAATAAGTTATGTAGTGTATGCAACTTGCTGAAACAGTATCACTCTCCATACAGTGTAAAATTGATACAGATCACAATCAACGGCAAACAAGATTGACAAAAATTTTTAAAAAAGTTTTACTCAATTTATAATATTACTCTGACATCAGTATTTATTTTTTTCAATTTCATTCCCAGTCTTTACGCAAAGTTGGCCAAGATCCTATAGTCCTTCTTATGTGCATGACAGTGTTTTTATCGTATTTACCTGAAGCTGGCCAATATTCCTGTATGTTTCTCTATCTTAAACAAGTAAGTGCTCTAAATCATTTGTTATATTATAATATTTTTTAATTCTGTGTTATTAAAGAAGGCCAAAATACAACCTGTGTACTTGTTTGAGTTGATCCTGTAGGATCCTTTAGGATCCTACATAGGATTTCTACCATTCATGGAGATAACCAATTAAAATTTACCAAGCATCAATCTGCATTATCTCCACCAATTAGACTGCAAGACAATGTTAATAACAAAGAACTTCTTTCTTTCCTATGAAATAGCAGTGTAAAATGTACATGTACCTTCAGAGTGTGCTAAGATTTTTAGATGCTTTTACTTTGATTTTTGTTTTTCATGACAAGGCCCATATTTTTTCATTTCGTTTTGCAGGTTATACATTTTACTTCAGAAGATGTAGCAACCTTTATAGCAGTATTAGGAGTTTTATCAGTTATATCTCAGGTAAATAAATAGAGGATATTACATGGTCACGTGGTGAAATGAAATTTCTCTTCACCCCCCCCCCCCCCAATTAAACTTTAAAGTCTTGTTAAATAAAGAAAAGTCTTTCATCTCTAAGCCTCCCTCTTCAGGTAGTGAATAATATTTCACGAGAGAGCACAGCAAACGAGTGAAATAATTATTTTTCGACACGAGAAGATAAATTTTGGTATCTCCATGCGATCATGTAATGTTTTATTTATTATACAAACACCAATGAAATACCAAACCATTCCACTTTAATAGCTTTTTGTTTTGAAAGGCACGATGTAGCCATAGCAATGGTTATCTCTTTCATGTGTGAAGATAATAATTACGTTATTTTCACATGTGAAGATATCATGTTTTCGCACAAAAGCTCACCTGGTATTTCATTGGTGTTTATATAATAAAAAATTAATATTTTACAATAGATCAGGATCAGTGACTCAAGATCTCTTGGATAATAGCACATCAGAGGAACTGACAATTCCACCCTGGGATTTTAGGATTCAATGGTTCATTATTGATATACCATGATCCAGGAGACACAGCATTACTGACTCTGATCTGAATTATCTCAATGGAATGCACCTTTAGTCTTTGTTATGTACACTGTAGACATGTCTCATCCTGTATTTTGTCTTTTTTCATCTTTTAGACTGTAGTTCTTACTTGTCTCAAGAAAACTATAGGATTGAAGAACTGCGTGTTAATTGGATTAATATTTGAAATTCTTCAGTTGTCCTGGTATGGTCTAGGAACACAATTCTGGTAAGTTGAGCAACAATCATTTTGGTTTTTTTGATTATTATGATCGTGTATGTATTGATTGTGTTTTTGTAATTATTATTATATGTAATTAAGTAAAGATATTGTATCTTTTTTCAAAACTGATGCCATACCACACCCCTGACTGCCCATAAAGACAGCTTACCTCCATCCTTTAACCCTTTAAGCCCCAATATCCACATACAAATTCTCCAAACTGATCTCCATACATTTCCTTTAACAATTAGTTGAGAGAATTTGATAAAAGATCAAAGCATTTTCTTTATGGTGATAATTTTATTAATTCTCACAACTTTATCTCTTGACAGTGTATGGATATTGTTAGGAGAACATTGTTGTTGGTCACTATTAGCACTTAAAGGGCTAAAGAGATGTGTTAGAATTGGAATAGTAGAATTTTATCAAAATCAAAATTCTAACAGTTGGAACTGCCACCAATTGATTGAAACAAAAAAATATTCTCTACAAACATTAGAAATGATACGCTACTATTAAATAACCCAGCAAATACAAAAATAGGCCAGGACGGACAAACTTGAAGAAGATTAAAATGGATTGAAATTGTGGTTTTTTCTGAAAACTTTTTAGCACCTGACAGTTTTTCAAAGTTCATTTTTGTTGTATGTAATGTTTGATACAATGCTTTAGAAGTATATTTTTTGGACAAGAAGCCATGATTTTGCTGTTTTCAAGTAATTTCTTTGTTAATGTTAAGTTCCATAGGGCATGAGGAAGTGTAATTGGCAATATTAGTGAACTTATGCAACAGGATGAGAGAGGAGAGACAACAGCAAACCTAGTGTGACAACCGTGACAAAGATTTTGTTTGAAAAAGCCTTCCACCAAACTTCGCATTCCTAAAACAGATCTTTTGTAGAAGAGCAAAGAACATCAGTGTTAAGAAAATTCCCGACAAACTTGTAACGCGAGTAATAACCCCGTCACATTTGTCACACACACAAATTTTGCCATCTTCTTCCTTCTGCCATCCTGTTGCGTAAACTCACTACTAACAAAATGAACTTGACAGCTGTGACACAACCTATGGTGGAAAGGTTTTATTGTAGCCAGTGAAGTCTAGGATACAACCCATGATCTTATGTTGTGTTTGTGATGATAGGATGATGTGGGCAGCTGGATCCTTAGCATCTGTCTCCATGATAACTTACCCGGCCATCAGTGCTCTGGTGTCATGTAATGCGGAAGCAGACCAACAAGGTTCGTAATGATTTTGATTGTTTATCATGAAGAAAAATATTTATCATAGCATAAACGTACAAAATTCTTTGATCTGGTTGGCTGTCATCAGCCCTGTTTTTAGCATACAATGTAAACATACAGAACATGCAGTTGTGTGCACACTCCTGAATAGGTTCTTTTGTTTTGTTTTTGTCATTTTTATATATTTATTTAATTTTTTTTTCTTTTCATGTCTAACAAAAATCTTCTTTATTTCTCTATCTACATACTGTAAACTGCTGCTTATAAGCCCATCTGCTTATAAGCTCCCCTGGTTATAGGCCCACCTACATGCAAACAAAAAAATACGTCCGATTATTAGCCCATCCGGATATAAGCCCCAGTTACAGTTTTGATTTTGTTTTGAAATTTAACTGAATTCTATTTATTGCTGCTTTTTTAAGGCTTCAATTGTAAGAGTAATAAATTTAAATCATACGTCGATTGACAGTGCTGTTGCTCATTTCGAAACGTTTTTTGTCGTCCGCTTATAAGCCCATCCGGATATAAGCCGTCCCGTTTATAAGCCCACCCAAAACCCCTTACGAACTTGTTTAAGCTCAGGGCTTATAAGCGGCAGTTTACGGTATGCATTACACCTGATAAAATATTGTAACTAAAATTAATAGAGTAAGTAATGTTAGGTGGAACTTAATTCATCTCTGCAGCTATTTTGTAGGCTTGTCACTCCCCCCATGCTCACCGCTCACCCAAAAAAATTTCACTTTTAGTAAAACACGGCGTGGTTGTTGACATGCCCATCTGGAAAGTACATTGGGTGTGACACAGTGTGACTCCCCCCTCCTTTGAAAAATCCTGACTACAATGTACTCCCCTGACTAACATATTATTTTTGTGTGTAATTGTTAGGCGTGGTCCAAGGCATGATAACTGGGATTAGAGGCCTGTGTAATGGGATTGGACCTGCTTTATTTGGACTGGTATTTTATGTGTTTCATGTGGACTTAGAAGATGATGATCTGAAGGGTGTGACTGTCGCGGTATCAGCCAATCACACCGCTATGGAGGATCCCTATGGGGAGGTACTGAGAATAATGTAATTAAAACTGGAACAAGAGACTGTGGATCATTATAAGTTTCTGGGAAACTGCCCACCTACCCCTCCCTAGACTACGAGTAGTCCCCCATTTTTCCTCAGGGATAGTAGAGCGAACGAAACGCGAGCGTGCGTGGAAATTAGCCCATGCGAGAAAAAGCGACACGCGGCGGGGAGAGAGACCTCGGGATGATTTTCTCGCGCGCTTGCGTTTCGCTCGCTCGCTCGCTCTACTATCCCTGAGGAAAAATGGGGGACTACTCGTGGTCTAACCCCTCCCCTAAGCCGACACTTTGCCACAAGTGGTAAACCAGGGAAACCAGTGGTAGCGTCGCAACGCTATGTTGGCTCTTTTCTCAGGCTGTACTGAGTCTATCATTTGGCATACTAACTTTATGATATTTTTGTTTCACCCTTTTTTGTCTAATTCTAGTGTTAACCATTTTTCTCATTATTACGAACGAGATGAATTCTAGCCTGCGTAGCGTAGTGGTTTTGTTGGGAGCACCACTGAGCGACGAAGCCGCAAAAACGCGCGCGAACAAACGGCGACGCTCCCGTCCCAATCTCCTCGCGATTTCTCTGCCCCCGCCCGCCTATATTACTTAGCGCGCCCAACCAAAACCGCCATGCTACGCAGGCTGGATGAATTCTAACTCGACAAAAATACAAATTTTCAGAATAATTAACGGTAAAAAAAATTAGGAAAATTATTTTGGTTAATATTATTTATTTACGTATTTATTTATTTATTTACTTATTTACTTATGTTTTTTTAAATATTATTTTGCGTTCATCTCTATAGACCATTGTGAAAGGTGCACCCTTCCTGTTTGGAGCTGGTTCTGTTATCCTGTCCCTCCTCTTGGCTTTCTTTCTACCAGACAATGGTGGGAGCATCAATCTCACTGGCCGCTCTCCTACAAGACGATCAATTGATTTTAGTTTCCAGAGTGAATGTGAAATGAGTGGATCCGAATTAAGGGACATAAACGGTACAACAGATAACGCATCTCTTTTATCTGACACCAAGCCTCTTTAACACCCTCAAGGAAAACTTGATTTAAGTGAAACAAGCGTTGCTCCGAATTACAAGACTTGAACAGTGCAACAGATGGTGCGTCTCTTTTATCTGACACCAAACTTCTTTATCACCCTCAAAGAGAACTTGTTGTAATAAGTGAAACTAGTGGCTACGAATTATGGGACATAAACAGTGCAACAGATAGTGCGCCTCTTCTGATCTGACACCAAGCCTATCTAGCACCCTCAAGGCCCTTAATACTGCATTACCATCCGAGTGCCTTAAAATTTATGGCGATGGAAGTCAAGACATTGTGCTCCCCATTCGGCGCCAAGCCTGTTGTATTGCTACCCAAAGAATCTTCGAAGGATTTAAATTCATCCAGACAATCTCAGCTACAAAACTCTTGTACAGGCCAGTTCAAATGCAATTTTCCATGCCATTTACCGGTAACTGTTTTGTTGCATGGAATATCAATGCACTTTTTGCCGCGGCTTAGTTTGTCCTCACATCGCAAATCCAGCAAGTCCTTGAAAATAATGAAAGTTGTACATAAGAGAGTTTATGTCTAATATAATTATGCCTAGAAATTATTTATTCCAGTGCTACTTGATTTTATCATTGTCTTCATTTTCCCTGAACAAGTAATAAATATTTTCGAAATGTGAACTGTTTTTTGTGTGATTTTTATACTGAGCTGATTGCTCGTTCCTGCACTGAGTGATGTATCTTACCATCATCCGACGATTTAGTAAAATTTTCACAAGGGAAAACGAAACTGACACCAATTTCGGAGCATCAATTTCACTTTGTCCGGGCAAAGGTCCTTTTCAATGAAAATAAATTTGTCCGTTTGCCTATTCCAACGGTCAAGAATCGGCTACTTTCCAGATTCAGAAATTCTTACTTTCAAAACGAAGCTAAGTACAAAACCTTTTTTTGTCAAAGTAAATCTTATTTGCATGAGAATAATAAATCAGTTTTCTACCAATGGCTTTGGACTTAGCCTGGCTTTGAAACAGAGGCTTGGGACGATTCGGAAATGGCTTTTGAGCGAGGACCGAAGCCAATAGCCCCTTTAAAAAATGCACTTTATTTGAGTGTCAAGGTATTTACCACGAAAGTGCTAACAGGGGATACTATTTTCAAGTCCCCAACTGGAAACGGGACCGCCATTTTACGTGGTCATCCGAGCCACGCGAAGGTCAAGGCTTACGCAAGCATAAGTAACTTGAAGCTTGGCAAAATCAACGAATGATTGTCTCTGTACGTACTTGTGATCTACTATTAAACATTTGTAATTGAAAAGTATGCAAAAGTATGTTTTCCGCTGCAAATTGGAAATAGCAGAGTTGCGCGCAAATTTTTCTAATTGATTGCGTCATAAACAAAGACACAAAAACGGATTTCTGCGTGATTGTTTTGCGTGGTTTTTTTTGTTCAAGAATCACAAAAGAAAATTCAGGACCTTGAGAAAAATTATGCAACCAGAAAAAGCCGCGTCAGGTGAGCATATAAATGTCATTACTCACAGAATCATATTTGCGAATCAAAATACAATTTTTTACAACAAGTCTCTTAAAGGAATTGGCATGAGACATTCGCTGAAACCTTTACATCATCAAGGAACATTAATGACGAAAATAAAATTGAAGAGAACAAAAGTCTCGCTCGAGAGATGGAAAACGATGCATGATTCGCCATTCAAAAAGATTTTAAAAAAAAAACCGAAATTTAAACGACAGAATGATAGGAGTCAAAAGTGAAAGCGTGGAAACGCAACGGATGGCGAAGGTAACACACTGGGAATTGAAGGACCTCGTTCCCAGGGTTCTCATTTTTGAGGTAAGACAGAGAACCCTGGGACGATATTGGGAGTTAAACTGTCAATCAAAACATTGTCATCTCGCGCGAATTATTCTAAATGACGACATAAAGGAAGATTCACAAACCGAATTCTTCGTCACCGTTTCGCGCAGTAAATGTTGCGCTAGAATTAGGAAAAAATAATCGCGACTTTCAGAACAGTATGGAACCAGGAAATTCCAGTTCAGGTTAGTAAGAATTAAGGAGACCCAATAGACTGATCCAAACATTCAATTTTATTTCATTTTTACCATGCAAGTGAAGAACAAGATTCGCGTTAGAGTATGTTGAAAGTGCATGGTCATCGATACGCTTGTATCAAAAACAAAGAAAGGAAACAAGAATAAGCGTGGCCAAACCCTCAAAAATTGGGAACGCAAGTCTCTGTTGCGTACGATTTGTCACTTTGAAGAATTTTCCGTGAAGTAGACTAAAAAAATTATTTCGAATGGGCGGGGTAAAGATTCGGTAAAAACGTTTGTTTATGTCACAACAATAGCGCGAGCCATGGCAACGAAAGATAGTGGAAGTCATAGCAACCATGAGCTTCGTTCCCAGGGTTCTCAACCTCAGAGAGAGAACCTTGGGAAGGAGGTTGAGAACTATGACGTAATCAAGCGCGCCCGTCGTTACTTTTGACCAGCGGTTAAGTAGCCAAGTGAATAGCCTCGTCCCTAGGCCTTTATTGCGTTCAAGTTGGTAAGACAAAGCTGGTGGTTGAAGCTTTGGGCTCTGGGGATGAGAGTGCGCGCGCGATGCGCAATAATGAACGTAACAAAAAAAAACTGTCGTCTTCAAAGTTACGCGAGATTGACAAACGGCTTTTGTTTTTCTAAAAGAAGTGAAACGTCGATTCACCCGTCAGTGCAGGGAATATATAATATGCTTCTTTGTCTTAGTTGTTTCCCGCCTTTTTTGTTTTTGATAAGTAGTTCAAATTCATACTTATAACTCACTAACTGGAAATTGAATCGCAAAATTTTTCTCACTTTTTGATTCAGGTTCAGCAGGAAAACCTATTTCAAGAAAAAAGTTGGAAAGTAAACTTTCAAAAGTCAAGAAAGAAAACAAGGTATTTACATGGAAGAGTTTTTGTTCCCTTGTACAGTAGCCGTCATTTTCCTTGATGTGGTTTTCTGAAATTGCTTGAACTACGAAAAATTATGGCTTTAAACCGATTTGCGATGCGTAATATAACCTCATATGCGTTGTTTTTTTCTTTTCTCTTTAATGTAGAGATTAAACGAGATGAAGCAAGATGCTCTTAAGGAGAGAAGGTAATTTTTTAAGAGAGGGCAATGACGACGGAGGGTACGCAAGGTTATATTAGCTTTTAATATGCTGAAAAACTTTCAGACTCGGAGAAGCTTTAGTTAAAGTAGAGAGCAGAAAAACTACAACTTAGGAGAGCAGTTGTACATTGCCTCCGCTAAAAGATATTACGAGGCTATTTTTAACGGGTTTGGAGAAACTCTTATGCATTTTTAAAATAGCTAGAAAGATCCATAGCTACCGGCGAAGCTGGAATGAAATCCCCTCCTCTACACTAGAAAACAACATCCCAACAAAATTTTTTTTGTGCCGGATTAAGCAGAAAAGTTCAACATTTTTGCTGCGCAACACAGGTTTCCCGTGAAACTTTACCAGAAAACTTGTCTAGAAAACAATTATCTGAAACGTAAGTCACGACCAATACTAGTGTTACTGATTGGAGGTGATTGAATATTATTCTTTAACAAGTTCAAGTTGGTCAGATTCTACCTCGCCGCTTGGCATAAAAAAGCCGCTTCGTTTGGTCTCAAATCCACACTTTTCTTTATTGCGCTCAAGCGACACTAATCTGCTTAAAGGTACGGAAAAACGGGCAAAAAAAAACGTGCAACTTGTCTTGCAACATTGCTACAAAACGAGTTGTATAGCGATGTTGCGCGTTTTACCACCGCCATCAAACCTGTCTTGCGACAAATCAGGTTGTTAAAGGGAACCTCCACTTCAACAAAAAGATAACTTTAAATCACAGGAAATTTGAAAGTGAAAATAAGCGATTTTAAAATTCACTTTTCCTGATATAAACTCTTTTTTTAAGACAAATTTCGAACAAATTTGTTTAGCAACATAATTTTATTCAATTTAAACTTATTCTGTAGTAAGAGTGGAGGTTCCCTTTAACAGGTTTGAACGTAGGTGGTAAAGCGCGCAACATCGCTATTCAACTCGTTTTGAAGCATTAGGGCCATTTATACGAGGAAAAATAAGACGCGTCTTAAATAAGATGCAAACTGTACCATTTACACGAGCATGTCTTATCTAATAAGACGCGTCTTAGCTAAGCCGCGTCTTATTTTAGACGAAATGTGCCGTTTATACGGAAAGTTCGCGTCTTATTTAAGACGCGTCTTATGTAAGACGCGTCTTATTTTTCCTCGTATAAATGGCCCTAATATTGCAAGACAAATTGCACGTTTTTTGTTGCCCGTACTTCCGTGCCTTAACGTATTGCTTTAAATCCAAAATCAACCCTTTTTTTCGTTACGTATAGGGAACTAGAGGCAAAAGCCAGCACTGCAGCAAAGTCTGAACGGTCAGATACTGAGAAACGCCTGGAGGTATGCAAAACATTTTTTGGTTCTTTTTAAGGACGAAGTTATAGTCTTGGAATAGTAGTACGTAAGGGAATTCTTGTCTGTGTAGCTGCCTCCTGTGTTTTAAATATAATTCAATGCACACCCACGGGTCTTCCGCCATCATAGCATGTAACCGAGTCAGAAATGGATGAAGGAAAATAATTAGCCGTAACACGACTTGAAAAATAATGTTGAGCAGAAGTTCGTATGCCCTCCGATAATGAAAATTTTCTGATGCCGAGCCACCGCAAAATCAGAGTTATAAGTAATTTACGAACAGAGCACCAGGGGGAGTTTTTGATATATAGCCTGTGAAGTGAACAATCATCCTTGACGGAAATTTAATGTTATCTTTCGCAAAATATTCTAATATTTACCCCAAACTATACCGTCATAGTGATTTCCTTTGTTCTCTTTTCCTGTCGTCGTGCAGTGACGGCAAAGAAATGTACAAAAAAGCGTGATGCACGTGCAAATTGTTGTTAAACCTCAGTATTGCTTTTTAGAGGCCGCAGAGAGGGTTTCCACTGAAATATGGTACTTAGAAAGAATGAATATTCACGAAAATTGCAGGCGTGTGAGGCTCGCGCGCTTCGCGCCCTTAAGATTCTTACGCCACGCTTTACCGATTTTTTACTGATTTTGAGGAAAAAAACCGACTGTTTTGCAGTCTATAATTACCGCGATCGCTTAATCAGGTCAGTTTTACAGTGATTAAGTAAAATGATTCGGGGACTTTGTTAAGTGACAGCTTACTATTGAAGGTGACCGTTAAATAGAGGTTCGAGTGATCCCGGTTTAACTGTATAATGGTCCACGCTTGATATTGCAGACATGTCTAGCAGCAATAGAGTTCCTAAAAAAAGAAAATATGGCCCAGCGGAAAAGGATACAGTCTCTTACCAAGAAAAAGGTTAGTTTAACAACTAAAGAATAATCAAGCCGTACTATACTAAGCGGCTGCAGCTAGTCCTTTTACTAAATCTGTCTGAAAGCAAACATAAAAGTTTCAATCGTTCTATTTAACACTTTTATTTATCCTGACATAGAACCGGTATGCGTTCACTCTCTTTATAGGATTGAGAATGCAGGGTCTGCAAAGCTAGAGTTAGAAATGCATTTGCTATGAGGAACTGTTGAAATTGTTTAAAC